CTTCCAGAAAGCATCTGTAAAAAAATTGTTTGAAGAAAAAATATTATATTTGAAATTTTACACATGGCTTTTGAAGTGAACACTCTTTTGAAACACTTGAACTCCGTGTGCCCTCCAGGATGACTTTAGGGAGCAAATAGAATACTTTTGAACTAAATTTCGAGCAACAATATTGAAATTTCATTGCAGTTGAATAACAAGAACCCAACCAATTTTAAATAAAGTTCCATGCAAACATGCATGATTTTTACTTAAAAACTTTTGTTGTCCTAATTTTTTAGAAATGTTTTTGTTGGTTTTGGACCGTTAAAATAATACCAAACTTATTGGTGATTTAGAATTTGAAACATTCTTGTGAAAATGGCCTAAAGCTAGTAAAAGTTATGAAATTAAATCTAAATTATTTTGCTTCAGTTTTGGTATCCTTCACAATTGTTGGAACCACCTCCGCCCAAAAGTCAATCCCAGTCCTTATTACACAACCGACGAACCAAACGATGGAACTTCGTGAGTCCGCAATTTTCCAGTGCCGAACAGAGAAACCTACCAATGCAATTCTAAAAGCAACTATCACATGGTACAAAAACGAGAAGAAAGGTTTGTATATTTGATGATTTATTAAATTTTACCATTTATAATCTTTCACTGAATTAAAAGATTTTATATATTTTACTATACGATATGAGCTGTTCAGCTTTTTTGTTGATGACTAAATCAAATTGCGTGGAATTTTTGGCTATTTTCTAGGAAGATAAGTTTTGTCTCAACCTGAAGCAACGAGCACATAATAATAATATATATTTTTAATGATAAGCGCTTTCGTATGTACATTGACTTGTTTATCGAGTGTACAAGCGACCAGACGCTTGTATAGATTGCATTCGATTCATATTTTGGTAAGTTTTGAACAATCAAACAATTATGTAGTCTGACACAAAGTCAATTTTGCAGTCTTTATAATAACTTTTTGGAGATGTTTTATGGTAAAAATGACTTAATTGTGTGTGAATAGATTGTGAAGTGCATTAAACACTGTGGTGCCGATTCGATTTATCGCCAAAATCGATTTAATTTATAATACCATATTTTAACCATATTCATAATACTAATACACCTGTATTGTAATATATGAGACGTGGAACGAAACGTGTATTCATAATTCATACGGTTTATAACTCAAATTTTGCTAATTTAGCTGGTGAAAAGTACTCGTTTTCATATCCAGCTGTTTTGGAAAATAAAAAACTGCCAGAGAAAATACAAGAGAGGAGCTTTAGATGGCCTTTGAGAAGGCTCTATTTTTCTCAATTACTAGATTGAATGGCCACTTCACAATCGCTTTAAGTCATCTTTAATTTAGTTTTTCTCAATTATTTTACAACTTCAGATCGCAAAATGAACCAATTAGCCAAAAATTCATGTCCAACCTGTTTTAGTTGCTGCTAACTCTACAGCGTGTAACGTCTGAAGCCATGCAATGAATGCTGGATCATGAAAAAAAGCCGTAATTCTTAACGAAACTTTAAAAATGGCAGTTCCAAAAAAGCAGTACGAATCTAAATCCTTGTTTATTATTATTATTATTAAATGTACTAAAAAGCTCATTTTTTCTTCATCTGGTTGGAAGTGAATGAATGATGAATCAGTAAAATCGATCTTGCATATGATCGTAATAGAAATTTATTTACCCCGAACTTAAGTAATCCATTTTTATCTGTCAAAACTTCAAAATGTTGTTTCAGTCACCGGTTTTGATGGCACCCAGCACTACATTATCACTAGTGACGGTGACCTGGTGATCCAGGGGGTGAGGGGGGACCCAAACCCCTCCAAGTCAGACGAGGGGGTCTACTTCTGCAGAGCTGAAAACATGAACGGTCACGTGGACAGCAAACGCGCTTGGCTCATCATTTACTGTTAGTGCTTTTACAACTAATTGCTACGAAAGAAATAATCTGACTAAATACCTTGAAGAAAAAACATAGAGGAAAACATCAACTAAGAAATTAGAAGCAATGTTAGGCAAAATGAAAAATACCCGAGAGTGATTTATTTAGTGACCGCCCAAACATTTCATGCTTGGTGCTTGGCGTCATAATTCATGATGGTCCGTACAGTAAATACCATAATTTGTTAAACGATTAATTCAAAAACAGAGTGAATTTGGTTTATCCTTATTTGCATTGGCTTTTTTAATCTTACTCTACAAAAAGAGCACATAAAAGACGCGAATTGAATCTTGAACCTTAGATTTTTCTTTTTCATTCAAAAATATCAGACGATCCCCTCAATTTTTCTAGCTGAATTTTCGAATTTGATCAAACGATTGAGACTTTGATCGAAGTGTTTTTCGAAAATTTTAATGCATACTACAAGTTGAGCAAAATCGCTTTGAAATTCCACACATCAAAAGAGACAAAAGCGTTGCTAATCCTCGCTTAATCGGTTGAAATCCCGTTTTCGAAATGAAGGAATTCTAGCGCTGACCCGTAGCATAGGTGAAAAATTATTGATTCAGCTTTTTAATTTCAATCTTGGAGGGCTGATAGATAAGGGCTAGGTGGGATGGAATTTGGCAAATCCCGGCATTTTATGGAGCGAAGGTGCGGGTCATAGTGCTATTGATTTCTAGTGGGATATTTTAAATACCTCCCTAATGCGGTCCTATACACTCGAGGCGTAATGTGTCACCTTTTCAAAAATTGAGATATGCTCCTATGCATTAGTTGTTCACATGTCTTTCACGCTCAAATGCTCTTTTTTAAAGTTATCGCATCGAGTCTTTTCACATTCTAATGACTGACTTACCCGGACTGCCAGAGCCGCAGGATAAGAAGAATATATGAATTTATTTCCAGAAGAGGCTCTTGGATCTCCTAGATGACTAATCTTTCCTAAGTAATGAGCGACACTTAATGTCAAAAAAAAATCGGCAAAGTTAATTTATTAACTTTTCAACATCTGTAGGAAACATGTTTGCCATATAGCTGCGATACACTGCTACCGGTCAAGTAGTGCAAATAATGGAAAAAAACTTGTAGATGTTATAAATAATTATTTTAGTCATCGTTCTTTGAACAATGTGACACTTTAGCAATTTTTTGTTTAGTTTCGGCTTTTTTCAAATAAAATTCTTTTTTCAAGTAATTTTATTATGTGAAAAATGTTTCTATGGAAAAGAACAAGGAAAAAAGATTTTAGAAAAACTTGTTTTTGTTTCAGCAATGGGCGACTACTTCAAAGTGACTCCGCAGAACTCCAGCATCCAGATCGGACAGTCCAAGCTGCTCCAGTGTGAACCCCCTGAGAGCCATCCCAGGGCAACAGTCACGTGGTACAAAAACGGAATCGAAGTCAAACCGGACAGAGACAGTCATTACAGGTTAACTAACTCAAAATGAATTGAAATTATTTTCTCAAAAAATGTCTTCCTAATTTTTAGTCCATCTCAATTGTCATGAGTTTCTTAAAACTCAGACGTCGCACTGCCTGCAGATAACAAATTGAATAAAAATTGAGGAATTTTACTTGAGAAATAAGCCGAGTATGAAAAATTGGGGAAAAAACGTTAAACTTAAAAAGTTTTTGTTTCAAAATTTCAAAGATCGGAACATGCTGAACCATTTGCATATAACCCCGTGTCCCTGGTTAACATCCCTTTTGTTCCAGTTTGGTGGGCTACAACTTGGCCATTCAGAATGCAGGAGCGAAAGAGGCAGGGAACTACATGTGTATGGCCACCAATGGACACCAGGAGAGGAGGTCCATGCCTGCTGCAGTGTTCGTAGGAAGTAAGCACCCTTTCTTTTTCTGATCTCATTGTACCAGTTGTTGTGTCTAACTAACTATCCAATTAAACTATATCTCAATTTGTTCATTCACTTCGCTCAACTAACTCTCAAATTTGCCTAGAAACTATCAACTGCGAACAAAATGTTCTTCATAACTTTTTGATTTTTTTCAAATTTTTTGATTTTTTTAAAAAATTTTTATTGAAAACAAAACCAAATCACGTAATTAATTTTAGCCGAGCCATTTTTCACCAAAGAGCTGAAGGCGCACTACTCGGTTGGCCAAGGGGCGAGCCTCACCCTGGAATGCCGTGCATCCGGATCACCCTCGCCCTCGATCTACTGGATGAAGGGAGACTTCACCAGGCTGACTCAGTCTAATGAAAAGTTGGTAATTGAACCCCGATTGTTCACTCACATCAGTTAATACTGTTACTAATACATTGATGAACACCAAAGAACAATAAGCTAAATCGCCTTTCACAAGTTAACAGATATCAGTCTTAAATCGAGCATTACAATATTAAGGGAGATTTCAACTAAAAGGAAAAGAATGAGTCAACTGTTTGCGAATTTGCGACACCACTTTTAAAGTTTTTAGTAAAGTATAGGGTTCTTCATAAGGTAATGACAATAAGTTGACAATAAGTAATCTAACCCATTAGCAAAAAAGGCGTGTCCAATTACTCGGCGAACCAAGTGATGGTCGAAGTTTATACAGATAATCGAATTAAAATAGAATCTTTGTTGTTGCTAATTTTGTGATAAATTTAAAATATCGATATCCGACTTGTTTGATTTCTCCCTTGATTTATTAATAAAAAATTTGGGTGAAGTTTTTATTTCCTTTTAAGTATAACAAAGCCCCGCCCCATCTTGTTTACGCCCTGTTTTAAATCAGTTTAAATGAAATTTTGTTGTCGCAAAACCAACTCCTTCTGTAGGGGAAGTATTTTGGTTTTTTGTCCAGAGAGTTAATTAAAATTTAACGACCACGAATTGCAAACAGCCTTGCATGTGAAAAATTTAAATCATAAATTTGTTTTCTCAAAAACTCGTACTGTAATCAAACAAAGCTGTTCGAATTTTCTGATACTCATATGCATCCAATTTGAACTGGTGCTCAATGTTGCTATTTCGGTTTCGGTTCCATTTTGGAAGACTGATTCAAAGTTGGTTAAAACAGCTTTTTGATTGACACCATGCAAATGTACCACTCTGGGTGCCCCGCTTTCAAAATGGACTGAAATTTCTCGAGAACCGAGCTGGCGACAAGTGGTCGCTGAGTATATTTCACTGTTTAATTAGTTCAATGATTTGACCAAAAACTCCATCTGGTGTTAATTTGGAACTTTCATAAATCCACTGGGCAGTTACTTTTTATATACCTCAAACCCGCTGAAGTTCCATGGTATGGAACGTGTGAAAATTGGGCTGAATAAATTTACGAATACGGCCTGCCGGAGATTAAAATCAGTAGTGTAATTTTCACCCCTTTTGTATAAAATAAGGCCGTCTGTTTTGGATAATCCTTGTTTTTCCAAGTAACCCGGTGCGAATTTACTTTTCTCGACAAAACTTGGTACCAGTGCTGAGAACTGAAACAATAAAACAAACATGCGAACACATTGTCCCAAACCAAACAAACTCTGTACCAATTTTATGGAATTATGATCAAGTTTGAAATTCAGTTGAAATAATTTTGACATGTTTTTTGACCAGGTTGTACTTTGCAAGCGTTCAGTTAACAGCTCTGTGCAATAATTTTAATCAAAACAAATCGCATTCATGCAACTGGGTCCAAATTTCGTGCCAGAGTTCACAACTTGAGATGAATGTTTAATTAATTAGAATTATTCCTTCAGGTATTTGGTCAAAGGGAGCACTCTGCAGATTCTGAGTTTGGACCAATCAGACTCGGGCGCTTACAAGTGCGTGGCAACTAATAACATCAAATCAATCAACTCTCAAACTACAATCCTCGTCGCAGGTAAATAAAAACAAAAGCACAAACACCCACTGAGAGTTTTGATTGTATCTTAATCAAGTGCATAACACCAAAAGATAACCGTACCAAAATAGGCCGCGCATTCATAGCAGCCAAAGTCAACGAATTTTCTCGAAAAGTACAGCACAATCAGTCATTTTGAATTAATCAAATTACATTTTACTGTTTGAATCCTTGAATTTGTTAAATTTACAATGTCTGCTCTGAATAAGAAAAAGTTTCAGTTCATGTAGTATTTACAAATGACTCATAATTCTGATCTATCTTGAATAAAAGCACAGGTCAGACGCCGATTTTGAATTTGACACGTTTTGGTCATCTCTGGTCTAATTTTGGTCCTTCCCGTCACAATTAATTCCCTTTATATCTAAGAATCAAGACGCGACGATTAAAGAGAAACCTAGTTAATATTGGCCTAGTTCTGCTTCAAAAGTAACTAAGTTTTCTAAAACATGGTATTTTATGAATATGTAACAAAAATTCGAAATAGCGAAAAAGAAATTACAACATGATTCTGATTAGTTTTCGACGCGTAATTTTCAGACCCATTGAATGCATAATCTATAAAGCTAAATTTTGCTAAGTGAGGGAGCTTTGGGAAGCTCGAGAAGTTGGCTTTGGGGAAACAAATATTTGAAAATTTTTCAGGTGAGCGGCCGGGCTTCCTGAAGAGACCTGCGGAGGAAACTGTGGTTACAGTGGGAGAGACAGTGAGTCTGCCCTGTCAAGCGATGGACTCAAACACCGAAGTGTTCTGGAGTCTCCCTCACAGCCAGGTAACAATTCACACCAAGTTGCATGTTCGAGCTCCGACGTCTCCAAAAAATATCTCACCTCAGATCATGTTTTTTCTTGACCTAATTCAAAATTAAAGCATCTTTCGTGATACTTTTGAATTTTTCTTTCGTGAGAACTTTTGAATTTGGTTTTTTGCATGACTGTACAAATTGTAAATGGATTTTCTTAGAGTGTGGATTTTCTTAGACTGTTCTGTTGGATTCATATTAGTGGGTTGTTCTAATATAACAACAAGGGCAAATTTATGACTCTTACTTACTAGTCAAAGTCATAAATGATGTCAAAAATAGCCAATGTGGTGCCACATGATATTAAAAGTCAATATAGGCTAACTGAATTAATCCCACTTCCCAATTAAATTTAACTTGGTCAAGTTTCCAATACTTCTACACCTCGTAAAATTGTTAGTGTTTGAGAGAAATTTGGTTTCAGGTTTTATTTTCAAATTAATTCGCAGTTGAAAGTAGGGTTATTTCAAGTTGATTTGAGAGGTGGTGAAATAAATATGGCAAAGAAGTTATGACACATGCAATAAAATGTCGCCCCATGAATGATAGAAATCACGCAGCTCCCTTTTATTGATTAATCTCGACTTCTAATCTTCGCACCTTTTAGTCTCCTTATCAGGGCGATTTATCAGAAATAGCTCAAAGGCAAAGTAAAAACTTGGGATTCAACAAATTTATGCAGCTTTATCCATTTATCAGACTACAAATAAAATAAAAGTACACTTTTGACTAAGATGAAAATTATAATAGCATCTATTTTTTAAATAGCCCAAATAATGGCGATATTTGAAAGGTGTTTCAAATTTGACATAATTTTTCATAGTTATGTGCAGCAACTCTCTGAAGATGGATTAAAAACGAATGAATAGGACAACATTGAGTTTCTTCGGAGCCAAAAGCGATAGAGTTTTTCCTACAAACCGGGAACTGAATCGGATATATTTCTGATGCCGTTTTATAGAGCAAACGGGCACAAAACTTGTTCTCATTGCTTACATATTCTGTTGTTTCTGGATCTTGTTCGTTTTCTTTTGCCAAATAAATTTCAAAAATAAGACTTGAAGCAAAATCTGGCAAAGCAGTAAGCTCGATACCTAAAAAAGTACCCAACATAAAAAAGCTGAAAATAATTGTGAATAATGTTGCAAAAATAAAAGTAATTTACCTAATGTTTTGGTGACCGCCATTAGTGAACTGGTATGCCCGAAGAGCATCATTACTGTGTCCTTTTTGTTTTCAGTGTTCAGTTTTCTGCTCACTACTTTTTGAATTTTTTGGACAATTGTTGCTACTGTCGGTCCGCCAGATAAAATTCCATTTATGCGAGCAGGAAAATACAAAGTGTAATCGTGCAAATACATTCGCAATAATTCGTTTAGAAACGCGTCATCCATCCATTTACTGTAGTGACTTTTGACTTGAAACTCAGTTTGGTATGACTCATAGACCGATTTGGCTTCATCGAAACTAGTCAAATTGAATCCAACAATTTCACTCAATTCCTTGTAGAACTGAATATTATTCAGAAAGTGTTCACGCCGTTTAATAGTCACTCCTTTCTTGTTCAGTTGAAGCAACTTTTTGCATTTTATCCATGCAGATCGATGCATAAAATCAGCATGTGGGTCGATTTTGGGTATTTTGAGCTGATGTTTTTGTTTTGCCTGCCTATCGCTGTTTGCCTCTTTGTTTCCAAGTGGGGAGATAATGTCAGCAATTGGTGGCATTTTCTGAATCCATTCGTCTGATAAGCACTCTTCCCCAACTATGCCTGCTAGAGTGCTGTATGCTGCTGCGATTGATCGATCTTTATCTGTGCTGCAAAAAAGGGAAAGATAGGTGGTTATATGGCTTGGAATATAAAGCACCCCTGAAATCCTGGGAATCAGCTGTTCGAGAAAAAATCATGACATTCATTGAGACATTTTGAAAATATAGTGCACTTTGCAACATTGTTTCCAGAACATAGTGTCATTAAAAAGAAATTTTTTAAACAAATTCCATTTTAATTTAATTTTTTTGATGCAGAAAAAGAGGACGGAAGCTTTGTACCTCCAAATTTTTGTGCCCGAATCAATCGTCATTTTATCTGTTATGAATCCTCCATATCTTTCTGCTAAATAGAATCCCAAATTACAGTGCTCACGAACACCTGTTGTCGTAAGAGCCTCGGGTGGCCCTATATTAGCCCACTCTTTTCTGTTCGGGTCATTTGGGAATAACATTCCAGGTGTTGTAGTACCATGTCTGGTCATTGTAATCAGTTGCACTAATTTCAGTTGTTCCGGATGTAATTGGTCCAAAGGGGTAGCTGGCCATTTTTTCTCAGAAGCTTCAGATTTTTGTAAAAAGAGGACATCGATTTGCTTGGTGGAAAAAATTTGTAAGCTGAAAAGCGAAAGTAACAAGAAACAAATAGCAAAAATCATCATCGGGTTTTGATTGCTTGTGATAAACTTAAATATTTTCGGCAACCTTTTGCGATTTGAAGATTCAGTCATCTTTATCTAAGCCTGGCTCTGTTTTTGGGTATGTTCAGATCGATTATCTGATGATATAATTCTGATCAAATTTAAACAGTTCTGGTTAATTAGTCACTATAACAAATCATATCAATGATTTGAATCATCTTTGAAACGTGGTGTCATTCTATAAGCGCCGCATAGAATCGTTACTCCGATACCAAATATATATCTTTCACGAAACTTCTGAATCGAAAACGATATGAAAATTTTGCAGCAATGAAAACATGTTAATATTTGAAAGTAGCGACCGATATCCTCAAATAGTTTTAAATTCAATAGTTTTAAATAGTTTTTTTTGTGCTTTCAGATTCCTTACCTGATCAAAGGTCAACAGGAAGGTCACATCTCAGTGAGCGAGAGAGGCAGTCTCAACATCCAGCAGGCACTTATCTCGGACTCGGGCCAATACCGATGCTCAATTGTGGCACTTGAGGGTGCAGACAACTTCGTAACTGTCAATCTGGTCGTAAAACGTAAGAAATGTTGCGTTTTTATAATATTTGAAATTTGAAAAATATATTATATGAAACATGGCGTTTCTTCTTTTTATTTTTCGTTTTCATTGTCCAAATCATTCTCTCCGAATTTATTTGGAATTTATCAAGTTATTTATGAAGAAGTAATTAGATTTGATATTTTGGTTGATGCTACAGAACCGACGCTGGATCCGCCCCCTCTCATTCAAATTGAGCCGATGAACCAGACAGTGTTACCAGGTGCCAACATCTTGCTTCCTTGTGACGCAGAGGGAACCTCAAATCTTCCGACCATCCACTGGACGTTCAACCAGATGCCACTTTCCGGAATGGAAAGGTATGAAACTTCTCTATAATTTCCTGAAAAATGAACTTATCTTTTTTGCGAACAAACGAGAATCATAGTTGAGATAATCAATTTTAATTCCTGTTGAAAAATTATTTTAAACTGTACTTCAGAAAACGTTTATTAAACTTTGTACTATTTTTAAAGAAATATTTGAACTTTTAGACATCTCTTGTTGATGAATGGATCACTACATATTACGAATGCCCACTTGTCGGATAGTGGAATATACACCTGTACAGCCGACAACACATTCGGAGAGAGTTCAGCCTCCGCACAACTTACAGTCGCATCATCCAAGTCAACTCCGACTAGAGTGTTCACGCACCAGCAACTTCCTGTTCCGCCTAATTTCTTCGTCGTCTCCGATATTGGGTTGACAGACGTGACTTTGAGATGGTTTCCAGCCTATTTTCAAGATAGAGATGATGCTATTAGCTACAGGATTGATTACTACAGGTAAATTTGAAACAATAGTTATTTCTCAGCGGTATACAGTTTACAAACAAATGAACCAGAAGTTCAGTTTTTCGATTGAAGTCTACTTGAAAGAATGCCAAAGAGCCATTAGCTTGATGTCAAGGGTTATGATGAGAGTCTTGAAGGTTTAAATCTAACTTAAGCCGATGTGATACCGTGCCACTAAAATGGTGAATTAGGTCGATCATTTTCGTGCGTTTTAGGCCCTGAAACGCACAAAAATACATGTCTTAGGTCTTCCCCACCATATTTTGATTTAAAAAATCAATTACATTGATCTCATAGTCGCAATTTGAATACATAGTAATTTTTTTTCTGATTTAAGTGATGGACTTCCCAAGTGGCGTACTGTTCACACCCATGCAGTTTCCAACCGAGATCCCGACGTCCCCATTGAGCATACAGTCGGGGGACTGTCCCTCTCCGCCAAACACTTGTTCACAGTACGCAGTTGCAACTCAATCGGCTGTGGCAAATCAACACAATTACACTACAAAGTAGAGCTACTAGGCAGTGCGCCGGCTACTGGCGTGGATCCGGAAGCTCATCCCGCGACTCAGTTTAACCTGGATATGTTTCTGCCGACGTTGGTGAATAGTTCGATGGTGATGCTGTCTTGGAGAGTGTTGTCGCACCCGACTTCAGTTCAAGTGAGTTTCAACCTTGCTAAAATTTAGCCATCATTTTCTGTTTCCGGTCTGATCATCTCGAAACATAATTTTTACATTTAAACTGATTATCTATAACATTATTTTCAAACTAGAGAATTTATAATGTTTAAACTGCATCGCATCAATTCAGGTGTGAATATAGGATTTCCAATTCCAGCCGTGGTACAACAAACCTTTTTGATTCAACTTAAAGTATAGATTTCAACGTAAATGAACAAAGTTGAGAAACTTTTTCTTTGCTTCAGAGCTTCATTGTGCAAGTACAGGAAACCATCCCAGGAAAGAAACCTGAACAAAGCAAAGGACCGGTTGTGTTGTCTGAATTCCTCGACCGAACCGAGCGAAGTTTCCTTGTTCGCAACTTGAGACCCGCTCACTCCTACAACGTCACTTTCAACGTAAGAATTTTTGAGAACTTTTACAGTTCGTGAAAATAATCTCAAGTAGTATTTTTATCTCAATAAATGCTTGAACAAAGTATGATGATTTCTATTCCAGATTAAACTGACCAATGGAGCGATGATAACTAAAACGCAGGCCTTTGAGACTCTCCAGGCACCTCCGTCGGCGCCTCCAGACAAAGTGGCTGCTATGCTGAATGGATCCAGGGTGCAAATTCACTGGGTGCCTCCAAGAGTGGAGTCAATCAACGGGATTCTAATGGGATACGTGGTATGTTGAATGATTCAGTTACTAGGGCTATAAGCCGAAACACTCCTATGGAATAAAAAAATTTTCGCCAAAAGATGTACCTAAAATTACATCAGTTTTGGCTTTTTATAGAATTTCTAATCCAGTGCTGGCTTAATTTTTTTTAGATAATCGTTTGGACGAATAAATTTTGGCAGGAATTGCATAAAGATCTTTTTTGATAGCTGAAATTCATTTTGCTTCTAGATTTTGGTGTACAATGAGAAGGCAGAATCGATGTACAATATCTCTGTTGGCAACGTCACCCACTCGCAAATAGAGTTGACTTCAACTCGCCACCAGAAGATCATGATCAGAGTCGCAGGCAGAACTATGGCACCTGGAATTGGAGCGATGTCCTCGCCTATTACCCTGACATTCGGTACATAATATACGAGCTTAATTGTTCATTTGATTTTATTTTTGTCCTGAGCTACAAACGTCAAATCATTTTATTTTTTCTGTACAAACAAAAGAATAAAAAAGAAAGAAAAGACAATTAGTTTGAGTTAAAGTTATTGAGAAAAAATACAGACTTTCTTAGTTTTAATTTTAAAGGTATGCATTTGTTTTATATAATTTGTTCATGATTTTAGGAAGTCCGGCAGCTGGTTTCTACTGGAGTGATAGCTACACCTGGATTCTGGCAGTGGTGGGTGCACTAGTGTGGGTTCTACTGATACTCTTGGCTTTCCTCATCATGAAAAGATGGCTGTTCAATCACCGCAAGGCACCACGTTAGTCCTTAAACACGCTTGATACTCGTACCTTGATACTAGTAAGTTTTACATACCTGCTATAAAAATTAAGCCTTTAAATTTAAGTGAAACAAAAATAACCATGCGTACAATTTTTTAAAAAAAAATTTGCACTAGCGCAATTGGTTTTCGCACACTTTACGACCTTGACTTTAAACTCCAAACTCCACAACATTGAATTTTCCGTGAAAAAATCTGACGACCTGCATCTGTTTTTCAGCGATGAAGTTCAGGAGGACTCTTCTGAAGCAAGTGTACCAGGACTCGGATATCTCTAACATCACTGTGGACTCTGAGATGTTCATCTCCACTCCCTTCGATCACGCCGAGTTTCAACCCCAGCTGATCAAATGTCCCGCTCAGAGAATGAAGAAAGGCGAGAATCATAATATTTGTAAATTAATAAATATGAACCAAGACAGTTTCATAAAATTTTAACCACTTAATAATAAAATTTGAGCCAAAATTGGTTTTTATTGCCAAAATAAATGTTCATGTAAAAAACGACAAGAAATAGCTTCTGGGGCTTTGAATTAGCATTCATTTGTTTAATTTTCAACGTTAATTGAATATGTAGTTTGATTTTAGATGATAAGCTCAACAAGGAAGGCATCAGTTTCATTCCTCACTACAGTTCGAACACGATTAAGTCCGCCAAGCAACGGCAGCAGCAGCAGCAGAAACAGTTCATAGCGATGCGACCAGCGTCCATGACCATGTCACACCAAACAAATCCCACCGGAGCAATAAACTACCAACAACAACAACAACTGCAGCAGCAGCAGACTAACAACTCCATCTACGAAAATGCAGCCGCACGTGAACCCCAACTGATAATACCCATGCAGAACCAAAACTGCACCCTGGTCACATCTGTTCACGCCCCCTGTGAGTTCGGAGACAGCAACCCTTTTCTGAACATGATAAACTCTAACTCAAACCCGCAACAGATCACGGTCACTGCGGGGTCCACCAACACCATGCCCTCGAGCTGCAATGCGAAGCAAAGTTCACGAATGATGCAACTACCCGCTAGACCTAGTCACGGGTTCCCCAAAACAGTGCCCGGATTGGGAGCAAGTTCGGTGTCACGGTCTTCGACCAACTCGCCCGCATTCATGGGTGACGAAAACTGCAGATTCTGTTTGAGAGCCGAAGAACACCCCGAGATGAGTCCGCACAGCAACGCCGAACGAGAGAGCACAGTCGGATCCCACTACGCCTCAGTGGACCCGATGTTTTACTGTGACAATTACACCGCCCTAGAAATGTGTGTGAATGGATCGGACTAACTTTTAAACAACTGCAGCTAATTATATATTCTAATTTTTAAACAATGTAGAGTAATTTTTGCTTGTTTTCAAGTAGTCACTTCTTAAAGATTTTCAGTTTCAATTCAACTTTTTTATTTTACAGTTTTTTCGAAAACCTTAGCAACTGTAGAAAATACAATGACTTCAGTCCTCGGGCATAACTGTTAAAACTTTTTACGCGATAGATTTTTACAGGTTATGTTCCCCAGCTCATTATCGGCTGTTACATTTTTAGCATCTTTTCTCGATCCATAATTGTGCGACAAAAAAGATTGTGCGACCAGAAAGAATTGGTAAAAGCAAACAACAATAGTCGGTTACTGGGCAAGTAGCACAGAATGTTCCTACCATTGTCTTTAAAAAAATTACAAAAAAAAGTTTTTTTGTTTCTTCTGCGTGGTGTGATAAAAAGATTTAAATTATAATAAATGGTGTGACTTAAATGGTGTGAAAAAAAAAGATCTGACTTAAATTCGACATTCATAGTAAAATAGTTACATTGGATAAGATTTTTGTATATCAAAACGAAAAAATCAAAAAAGAAAGATAGGGAACTTTTTTTTCAATTTTTTTTGCAGAAAATGTTTGAATTCGCGCTTAAAACTCCAAAAACTAATTTTTAGAGTTTAAAACTAAATTTTCAGGACTTGAATAAAGCGTAAATAAGCTGTTGTAATTCTGCTCACTCGCTTTATTTCCTCGAAATCGAATCAAAAATCAAAAAACTTGACCCAGTTTTTCTCGATAATGAGAAAATTTTTTGAAACTTTTTAAATACCGTTCGAATCACGATTGAAAGGGCTTTAATTTAAAATATCTATCCAATGATTATTTGTGATTCCTTATTTTCCGTGGAAAACAAAAAATAAAAAAATGAAACACCCGAATACAGAGTTCCTCCTAATTTTTCAAATGGTCGGAGCAATAAAATCTTCAGTTTAAGGAAAGAACAAAAAATATAGTTATTGGTCAAAGTTTCTATATCACCACTATTTGGAGGCCTCAATTTTCGTCTGACCAGCCCTAAAAGTTTTACAAATCGCCTTTGGCGCCAGAATTTACTAATTTTGAGGCGAGCGTGCGCTGAATAGCTTTTGGGCCAAACTTTCCTGTAGGAGCCCCAAAACGCCATTTCGGACAATTGTGCTTAAAAATTTGAAACGACAGAAACGCAAAATGTATTATACAGCTCGCTAAACCAACTTGGCAGACCTACAATAAGTTTGAGCAGAACTTTCAAAAAAATTTCGGTTCCCCCTCAAGAAAGTTCGTTTCCTCCTCGAGAAAATCTTAGATCCGCCAACCACCCTTATTTTTGAGACATTACTAGTTGCGGACGTTGGGCGGGGCTGGTATTTAGTGCAAAGCCTATTTCTTCTATTGTCAGAAATATCTGAGCCTAAATGCGTTGATTTAATATGCTAAATTTTAGTGCTAATCAGGGGCTGATCTAGGATTTTCTCGAGAAGGGGCGGATTTTCAAAAAATTGTCGATTTCTTTGTAGACCTTTTTTTTAGGCTGACCAAAATTTTGAAAAAACGGAACAAAAAACACCGCATTTTTAGGCACCGCGTTTATTCGGCGCACGCTTCCCCCTCAAAATTGTTAAAGACTGGCGCCAAACGGCGCGTTTAGAAAAACTTTAGGGTCAGTTAGCCAAAAATGGATATCTCAAAATAGCACAAAAGGTGACCCTTTGGGTCGGGTCGAATCCTTGAGGATAAGGGGCGTCCAATCCACCCCCCTAAATCCGCTACTTGTGCAATGTATTGCACTGCTTTTATTAATTAACCCGCATGGTTTCTAGATGTTATTGCATGTTATTAACTGGAGTTGATTTAGCAGTATCTCAATACGGACGCATGGGCCCCGACAGCATGGATTCTATCTCTATCACTTTCTCAGCTGTTTGAATTTAACTTTGGTTAGTAAACTTTATTACTTTCAGCTAGCTCGATATTCAATATTATGTCCCAACTAATAACTCACTATTTACTTTTAATAAACACTAACTTGTTCAACTGCATGCTTGGGATTTTAACATTTATAATTTATGACATCAATTTCTAATATAGCACTTATTTCATGGCTATCAATAGCGTGCCATTTATGGGTACGCTACATGCAACTAAAGTCCACAGTTACACCAGATGTTTTAAGGAACTCGAGCGTCAAATGCATGTCAAAAATAACCAGCAGCCAATTTTTCACAAATATAATGTATCAAAAAATTTTTTACCGTCCGCATCAAGCAAACTGATCTCAATAATCCCGCATAAATTTAAAATAAATAGAGCGTTTAGTTCAATCAAGCAGAATGACCAGCTTATTAAAAAATTGAGTTGTCGATTAGCAATACGGTCAACAGCAATACGGTGAAATAGATATTCAAAAACAGCTCCATTGGTTACTCAACATAATGCTTGTGGACAATTTGCAATCAAACTATTTGCTTGTTCTTGACAAGTATCCTGACAACACGAAGAGAAAGAACTACTTTTTGGCCGCTTGTAAAACATACATTCATCACGATCCCGAGTCCAACGAAATGACAACCGACGAAATATGGGATACCATAGACCAAATGAATATTTCTTCTCCCTATGGAGGTCTGATCGGAAGAGGCGACTCAAAAGCGGATAAAATATTCGGATTTCTGAAGCATGTCAGGTTGCACGCAGTGCTCCATGATGCCGCGGGCCAGCTGAGGACTTTCCACGATATTGGACCCGGTTACCCTTATGCATGTTGCTGCTCGTGTTGTTGCAGCTGCTACCCGAAGAGTCCTTACGTCGGGCATGTTTCGGGGTTACTGTATTGCACTTGGGTGAAGTGGTGGTGCAAATCTTACCAGGAACTGGAGCTGTAGCAATTTTTGTGTTCAATAGAACTTTAATTTTACTGATTTAATCGATGAATATTTTAGGAACGAATTAAAAGTTATACGGTATGATTCAATTTCAATAATTTTAAATCAATTTAACTCAATAAATTTTCTATAAATTTACTTTTATAAATGGGTAAATAACAAACTAAACCGGCTTTAAATTAGGTTAGGCACAGGGTTAAAGCTGGTTGATGTACACCAATTGTGCATAAAATAAAGGTTTTAAACTATATACACTCAAATGGATTGGTTCTGTTATCAAATTTACATACACGAATTGTGTATTAAAGAAATTTTAACTTCACAAATGTATAAAATTAAGGTTAAACAGGTAAGTTTAAATTAGAACTTGAGTTCAGGGAAAATAAATAGTGCTGCTAGCACTTATGAGATTCAGGTTACAATTAAGCCACCACTTGAGTCATAGAATCAATGTTTGGGAACGTCATGGTCAATTAAATGATATAATCAGTGTCAGTAATGAAAGATGAAATGGCAACTTATTCGCATCTCAGTCTTCCTATACTTCAGGTCGTCTCCTCGTTGTATTGAGCTCCTATTTGGATAGAAGGAGGTTTCACACCTAAGATTCCTGTATTAGGAGTCAGTTTCATTCCTCCGCTGTAGTTTCGTGAAGTCTTTCCTTGGTGTGATGTTGTTGAGATTTCGCCCATTGATCTCGTTCTATTCATGTCTATTCTGCTTCCCTGCATTGATAGTGTCTCGTCGTTTAGTACTGCATCCTCCATCTGTCTGTGATGTTGTGGTACTGCAATCGTGTCGTCAATTACGTCTAGAATCGTGTATTTATTCTGCCATTCCGCTCGTGTTTCCATAAGTCTAGCTGTTTTTTCATCTCTGTCGCGTTCATCAATGTCCATTGCGACTACTGGCTTTATTCGTATATCTCCATAAGCGGTCTTTAGAAATTGTGGGGTTATGTCTCGAACTGCTTTGAATCGATGAAAAAGATAAGTGCACAAACACTGGAGTAGTGTGCTTCCGATGAAAACTATGACGGTCAGTGTCAGTGAAAGTTTTATTGGTACATAGCTTTCGAGTTTCTCTGTTAAGGTTGGTTTCAAAAGTTTCATTCCGTCGGCGATTGGTTTTGAAATCTCGTCCAATTGTTCCATGTTCGTGACTATTGGGCTGTCAATAAGTTTTATTTTCACTTGTTCCAAAAGTCTAATTCCGGCGTCCGTTTTTGATTCGAAGTATGGTAACTCATTAATTTCCGGAATTGTAGAGAGTAGGTGTTCCAATGGATCAGATAGTGTGACATTGATTCGTCTTGCTGGAATTTTGTCACAACTTTCCAGATCTGGTCTGATCTTGATATTTCTAGTTGTTAATTGCGTCCTGCAATCCAAAGTAATGATGCAAATGTTGCATCCTGAATGCTCTCTGCGGGATGGAGTATGAACCTCATGCAGGTTGTACTCCCACAAAGAGAATGACGAAGAGGCTGATGTGATTAGCCAGATACCGTATCCCAAATTCGTGGCTCGTTCCGGCGTAGGCAGAATGACTTTTTCCGTCTCACAGACCGTCAAGGCTGCTACAGGGTTTGGCCAGAATAAGTTAGATAGACAAGAGGATCTGCTCATCTGTGTCTGCATGGTTTGATGACAGATCCTTTACCTTGATGAACCGAGGCATTTCTCATACTGCTCTCGTGTGAGCACTGAGGTTTCCATTCCGTTCTCAGAGACTGCGAAGTAGTCTCCCTCGGTCTTCCATCTGATTGCATCCTTCTGTCCCGGCTGTGGCATCGGGATTAAATGAGCTCGATAAACCGAAAAGACAGTTAGACTGGACGACATCGGTATCGCTAGTGTCATTAGCAGGCCTTCATCAACTGTTACAACATCTCGAAGCAGTTTTGCGTCATAGTACGAGTGAAGCTCGGTTGTTGGGATGGCTAGAGTCAGTCTGTCCGTTGCGTCTTTTTGGCTGTCGTAAACTGAATTCAGGATTGCTATCAGAGAGTCTCTGGGGACCAATGACATCGTGAGTCTCTTGTCTAAAAGCGTAGGGATGGCATTCATAATGTTCGTCTTAAAAGCGTACAGCGCTGCCCTTTAACTCTTGACATCTGAGTACAGAAGAGAGAGGAGAGAGGCTGCAGTATCAAAATTGAAATTCAATTGTTGATTCGAGAACAGGTACTGATCACAATCGCGC